AACCCTCCATAATTTGCCAAACATAAAAAAATATAGAAGGGTTAAGTTAGCCCCTCTAGAGGGGTTAAAATGAGTTAACCCCTCAAAATGAGGGGTTTACTAATACTCCTATTTAGATAGAATAAGGGTTAACCCTTCTAATTATAAACAAAATAGTCAAAATCATTGTTATTCCCAAACACTAAAACTGATCATAAGGGCTAAAATAAAACTTATTTAACGGGTTAATAATTTAGTCCTTCGGATTATCAAATGGGCTAAGTACATTAATCCTTCTTTTTAACCCCTCTTCATTAACCCTTTGCCAAACGGGGGCTAAAAGTCTAATGCAACTCTCCAAAATAAAAGAACAAAAGAGGGAAAATATCAAATGGGCTTCACAAGAGAACTCTCTGTTCTTAATTGATGCTTTGTAGATTGATGATGGTAATTGGCTTGAGAGACTGTACATATATAGACTTGAAGATCCTAAGTCCTTGCTGCTTACGGACTAGGAGTTTTAGTGGGAATAAAAGTCAACATGTTCTAAAGCTCAATAAGAATCCAAGCCCACGATATGAACTGTATATCCTTGTCAAATTAATAATTTGAACTTATATAATCATTCCACACTCCACAATGTAACAAACTCCTATTGAATGCATAGTCTGATAAAAAAATCAGATTGAATATTTGAGTCACGAAACAACAAGTACTTTATTATTGTAGTTTGGATCCAAGGAACCCAAAGACTAAACAAATAAATAAGAAGTCAAGAACCACTGAAAGTATAGGCATCTACCAAAGACTAAAAAAAATAAAAAAAATACCTTAGGGACCCAAAAACATAGGACCCTACATGGGACATGTGAGGTGTCGGTTCATTGTCTCATGATGTACTATTCATGAACACTGCATCATGGGATATGGAACCGACACCTCACTTGTCCCATGTAGAGTCTCATGTTTTTGAGTCCCGTTAGCACCACCAAAAAAAAAAAAAAAAAGTAGTCAAGAACCACGGAAAGTATAGGCATCTACCAAAGACTAATTTCCAAAATGTGGAAATTATTTACACGAGAACAGAAACATTGGACGCAAGCAAATTTAGGCCATATCCTTTTATAAGCCTTCTGTGGCGCACCTACTACCTAATAGAAAAGCGCGCGTTGCAGACTGGCAACATACTTACGTTTTAACGTTTTGTCTGTTGTCCACGTCCCCCAAGCCACCTCCCCACCACACAAGACGAAAATTAATTTAAAAAAGAAAGAAAGAAAGGAAAAAAAGGAGTTATTTGCATATATACCCCTTACATCATGGGTATTTATAAGTTTATCCTCTAAATCTTAGTGTTTGCATAATTATCCCTGAAATCACCAACTTTTAAAAAAATTACCCTCAAAGCAAGTACTCATCAACTTTAATAAAGCTCACTTATAATTAAAATGTAAAATTATTAGAAAAATTCAAACTTTTAGCACCAAGTTGATTTTAGAGGTACTTTTCCACAAAGTTAATGATTTGACAGGTGATTTTATAAATACTAAGATGTACAGGATACATTTGGAAATACCCATGAGGTTAAGGGGTACTATGCAAATAACCCTTTAAACTATGCTCTGCCAATTTCAAATAGCTAGAAATCGCTAGAAATGAGTATATATGTCAGTACGAAAGCTTTTTCTATTTTAGAAAATGGAAGAGTCCAAAGGCCACGATCTGTTTCATGTCCATCTCCTGAGAATTTCTAAAATTATGTCCTTCTAAATAGGCTCAGAAATATATAGCAGTTAAAACTTCTCAATTTCTCCACCACTAAATTAATTTTTCTCCTTATCCATACTTGCCAGAAAGAAGACCATGAACCTAGTGTTGGGGATTCGAAACAATCAATCAAACCCTTACCCTTCCGAACCTTGTGTTGAAAGTAGGAAAGTAGAAATAATACCACAAATAAAGATCTAACCTTGCAAAAATAGTAAAGAAGACGAACACACAGATTTAACGAGGTTCGGCAACGTGCCTACTTCCTCGGGAGCCACACCACACAATCTCTTTATTAATTGAAGAAGAATTACAAGCTCTCAAACTAGGGTTTAATCTCTCTGAGATTCTCTCTCTTTTTGCAGTCAAAAAGTTCTATTTTTTCGTGTTGTTTCAACCCTAAAAACGTTTAAGGTATATATAGAGTCCTGGGGAAAACAGAATCCAAAACAGTTTAGAAAACTGTTTGACTGCGTCGCGGTCGACCGCGGCAGTCTCGCGGTCCCGTGCCAAACGACAGAAACTCCCAGATTTCCAGAGAGTTGAGCGGTCGACCGCCGCGGTCGACCGAACCAAAAACCCGAGACCAAAAATCCTACAGGGTTGGCGCGGTCGACCGCCTTCAGCTTCAGCTCCTCCCAACTCTTGTGCACGTTCGCGGTCGACTGCCGCGGTCGACCGTGGATCTGTCTGCTTGTTTTCTCGTCGTTTTGATTCCAGCTCTTGTCTCGACTTTGGGTCTACACCTTAGACTAACACCTAGCATCTCCATTCTCTTCAAAATTGGTTTGCAAACTTGATTAGCCTTAAAAGACTTGAGAGGATGCACTCAGCTGATGCAAAATGAGATGTGCAGAGAACACATCAACTCAGTATCAACTCAGTATGAAACTGACACAACGCGGAAGTGATAATCTCGAAATCCACAAGGGGTGTTCTCTGAATCCAAAAAGAATGATCTCCGAATCCACAAAAAAAATATAAAAAAATTATTGATGAAAAATTATGCCTCTAGGGCTTACAATACTCAACTTAAATAGAAATTAAACAAGACTTATACTTTGACTCAAACTTTATCAAAAATAAAAATAACAAAACTCTTCCTAAAAGATTCCCTGGGATTAGGGAAGTAAATCGGTCAAATTTTAAATCAAACCGGATTTGATTCCTAATCAAAACAGACTCCTAAAACGTTACCTAAAATAGTAAAAAATTGACAAAAATGTTACTCTCTCTCTCAATCCGGAGGGAATTTGACGAAACAGACGGCGATAAACCGAACATCGGTGGTTTTGGTTGACCCCGTCTCGAAAAAAAACACGATTTACATATATAATTCATCTAATTCCAACTTACGATTTGAGAAATATGACATGTTCTTTGTTGCAAGTTATTTTCCACGACCGGGTCTGCGATTGTGCTTGTATCGGTCCTGCTTCTCTGTAAATATGTCCGCAGTGTGTTCTACACCAAGAACGTTAGAAAACCAATTAGCACTAGTATAATATTTTAATCAGAGCAACCACCGTCTTTAGAAATTAGTGCTTAGAAAAGTATAATTTCCTTCTTTCTCTAAATTTAATTTTCATAGAGGGCCCACTATATGATATTTCCCAAAAAAATAAATCTAGAGCTGACAGCCCATTTAATAAAATGACTTGGTAAGTGACAAAGACCCATGAGCTTCTTTCTAGTTGCATCGGTTGCATAATGAGTGGCTCATGAGTCAATATATATGCTTGTCAGCCCATTTTCTAAAATG